CCGGAAATGGACTTGCTCAGGCCTGAGCACCGGAAGCCGGGGCCCTGTGAGTCGGAAGGGCTGTCTCAGGTTAGAGATGAGGAAACGAAGCCCAGAGGGACCCCTCCGGGCGCGCAGGGCCGGGCAGGACCCGCTGCCCCTCTGCCCGCTCTGACATCGGCCATTCCGGGGAACGTGTGAGAATGCAGAGGGCACAGCACTCCAGAGCCGCGTGGAGCCCGACCCACAGCCAGTGCCCTCAGCACTGAACGTCACAGCGAATAATGGGGACGGTGGAATACTGGTGATTTGGACTAAAATCTGCGTGCGCTCTGTCTGAATCAACCTAAAAGAGAGAAACTGAGGTAGGGTTGTACAAAATTAGGGCAAATCAGAGTTTTTATTTATTTAAAAATATACTTTATTGATTTTTTAGAGAGGAAGGGAGAGGGATAGAGAGTCGGAAACATTGCTGAGAGAGAAACATTGACCAGCTGCCTCCTGCACAACCCCTACTGGGGATGTGCCCGCAACCAAGGTACATGCCCTTGTCTGGACTCGAACCTGGGACCTTTCAGTCCACAGGCCGAGGCTCTATCCACTGAGCCAAACCGGTTTTCGTTTTTAGTTTTGTATTGTCTTATCCTGGCATGCTGTTCACCCCTATCCCCCCAGGGCAGTTGTGCACCTAAGTCACCTCCCCTTCAACATGCAGTCGCATGAGAACCATGGCCTTGCAGCCCCAAGGAGAAGAGAGGCTCAGCAAACGCTGTCGCCGGTCTTCCAGAGCGGGCAAGAGGGAAACGAGACGAAAACCAAACCCGACGGGACTCCAGGGAGGGAAGGGCCTCGGCGGCGGGCGGCGGGGCGTCTCATCCACCCGCTCCGCACAGGCGAGGGGGACGCACAGCTGCAGGGGAGCTGGACTGGCGCCACCAGGGCCCCTGAGCCCGGGTTCTGGGTGTGGAATGTAACCTCAGATGCTTTGGGCTGCAGACAACGGGCTGCCTCGCTCAGAACGGCTCAGACAACAGGAGCGGCCATCACCTCAAGGCCACAGAGGAGCAAGGCCTGGCAGGGACCGGAGCGGCCAGCCGGCTGACTGTGGGTAGCTCTCCCTCCGCTGACCCTGTCAGCTCCCCCGGCGGCGGCACCCTCTGGAGGCACAGCCACTCACGGGATGGGTGTGAGGGCCTCGTTCAGCTCCCACCCTGAGTCCTCTCTGCATGGCCACAGCTCGTCATGCCTCCGCATAAGCCTGATGGAGAAATACCGAAGACAATAAAGATGATTTTATGGATTCCCCATTTCCACGGGTCGCTAATGATTGTAATGGGGAGAGCCAGCCTGGGAAGAGGGTCTCACACCTGGCGGTCCGCATCCATTAACGTAATTTCTGTGCTCATCGCTGCCGCAGGAATCGCGCTGTATCAGCACACACCACGCCAAGTGGCGTGCCTCTGGGCTCATTTTATCTCCTCATTGTGGAAAGAATATGTAAACACAATCATGACCCTCCCTGGGGAGCTTCCCTAATGCCTTCCGAGGATGAGTGTCTAAGACTTCAGGAGGCCGTTGGGAGCAGTGGGAAGGATGAGGTCGAGGGCGGGGGGAGAGGGGGTTCTGGGGGGTGCTGGGGGGTGCCGGGGACCAGCCTGCCTCCTGGAGAGCTCCCCCACCCTGGGCCATTGTTCCCTCGTCTTCAAAGGAACACACTCTGGACGACATAACCTTTTTTCTTTTTTAATTGTGGTGAAATGCACATAACATAAAGGGAACCATTTTACAGTGCACAATTCAGCAGCAGTTAGTACATTCACAATTATGCCGCCGCCACCACCTCCATCTAGTTTCAGAACATTTTATCTCCCCCAAGGAGACCCCCTACCTGTTAAAATGGATTAACATGATCTTCTCAGGGCCCTTTCAATTATATAATTCCGTGGCTCCCAACGAGGAAATTGGCTCATTCAGCTCTTAAAAACACCCTCCAGACCGCAGAGAGGCGAAGATTACCCCATAAATGTGGAACATCTAAATATTTGTTTCTAACAAACACAGTTGGGGGGCGATGGGGTTGCTGGGGGCAGTGACTCCTGGGCTGCTCGTGGATAGCTCCGCACGCTGGACATCTCCACGGCGGGGCCAGCCTCAGAGACGGGCACAGTTTCTGGCTCCGGGACAAGACGTGGGGTTGACATTGCTCGTTCCTTGTCACCTCAGGGAAACCACGGTCCCCTCTGTCTTTACCGGAAAAGGGCCTTGCTTTTTGGGGAATTCAGGTTCCTGAGCAGAGGGCGTTTTTGTGGTCCCCCCTCTCCCCGGTGGGATGAGCCCATCCCGTCACCCCCATCGGTGAGGGGAATGAAGTGGGAAGGTCAGAGCCTTGGCATGGGAGATGGGCCAGTTGCACTCACTCCCGGATCCCAGCTGCCCCCTCCCCTGTGAGAGAATGCGGGTGTCCAGTGTTTTCCGGAGGCGAGATTCCTATTTCAAGCAAAGATCCAACGTGGAAGCCTGGTGCATACCACAGGTGGGCGAGTCTGTGAGCTCATCTCGCTAGGCCTTCTCCCCTCCTCTATAAGGGGCCTCCGTCAACACCCCCTGCGGACTCCCCCATTCCCTCAAGCACAGGATGGAAACCACCCATCTTGGCTCTACAGGGGAGCACTAGTGTCCATGGTCTTTGGACCATCTGTGAATTTCTGCTTTTTTACTGGCTACCAGGTCGCTAAGCAACACCCATGGACGTCACAATCACACTTGCTGAGAGTCCTGGGTGAGACCCCTGCTCTCATTGTCCCCACCCGGCTCACCTGCTCACACCTTTTAGGCTCCACAGCCCCGCCTGTGGTCCCAGGCCGCCTTTGCTCCACTGGGCGCGGCAATGGAAAGATTAGAAGCAGGGCAGGGTGACTCACCGCTCCTACGTTGCAATTGAACTTGCTGGTTTCCCCGGAGGAGGACTCAGCCATAAACACCTGGAATTTATGAGTGGGGCTTAGAATGGCAAATAATTTCACAGGTTTGTTTTCAGTCTATGTGCTCCTGGAGGGAATCAAACCTATTGCAGCTTTATCAGCCACACAGGCATCCTCTCCCATTTGGTGGGATGAGCTGCGGACACGTGTGTTGTGTGCGTGTGGTCCTGCATTGGGCGGGGGATTCCATGGATGTCACGTGTGGACAGTCCCTCGGCTGGGAGCACTATCATATCATGGTCCCATTTAGACAGGACGCAGACTTGTACGTGGCTGGCAATGCCACGGATAATGAATTCTAGCGACCGAAAAGGGAAATAATATAAAACTAAACTGCTCACATTGCATTTATACTGAAAGATTCCATTGGTGGAGTGAAAACCTGAGTGAGTGGAACAGCAGTGATAGACGGTTTGGTGGCGGGAAGGAGCGTGTGCACCCAGCTGCAGTGAGGAGGAACCTCGTGGACAGGCCACTCAACACTCTGGGCCTGAGACAGCCACGCCGGGGCCTTCTACCTGCCACAGCTCCCACAGTCACATCACGGGACTGTCTCAGCACATGCCCCCCGGGGAGGCAGGTGTCCCTGCCCGACCTCACTGGAGGGAGGGGGCTCCCCTGGGCCTTGGGTTGGCTGTGGGGAGTCAGGGCCTGGCCCCCTCTCCTGACTTCTCACCCAGTGCTCTCGATACACCAGCGACCGCGCCATGGTCCATTACATTGGACCGAAGCTCCGACGGCTTGCAAAGCACATTTTTCTGAAGAGCTGTTATAAAGGTCTCATTGCTCAAGGGTAATCTAGCAAAACCGCCAAGCCCACCTTCCCTCTCTCCCCTCCCTAGATGCCCGGACTTGACAGGGCAAGGAAAAGGGAGAGCTGATTCCAGGAGTAACTGCATCCAGCTCAGAGCTGTTTGGAGGATACACGGAAGGTTCCCGAAGAGGCAAGGGCACCCCACAGGGATGGTCTGGGGTAGCACTCCAGAGCCCATCCCCCCATCCTTTAGCTCTCCCTCTGCTGCTCACCAGCCAGGGAGCTGGGAGTGGCGCTCTGCCTCCCTGTGTCTCAGTTTCCTCATGGGCTCCGCCTCAGAGGCTGGTGGTGATGTGAGGCCCTGGGGACAGTGCTCACGTGGATCAGGAACTATACCCACAAAAGCGAGCAAAATAGGCAGCAAGCCCTACCCTTATATCTGGGGTACAGTGAACACTCCGCTGGGCCATTAGCCCCCAGTTAGATCAGACCTTTGCCAACCAGTCGCCCATTTGCTGGCATCAGGCATGGCCTTCCCGGGGCTTTGACGGTGGCTGACACCTACCACCGCGATGTTCTGCCAACCAGCAGCCCCGGTACACACAGTGTGCTGCCAGCTTGTGCCCTGGACACACTCGACGTCCAGGCGGTGCTCCCGCCAGCCTGCGCCCGCCCCGCCCGCCTGTCAACGGGAGGGCCATGTGTTTTGCATCAGCAGCGAACTGGGCCAAAGTTTAGTCAATCAGACGTTGTGTAAGGGCTGGCAAGGGGTCGGAGGCCTCCTGGCACCCCGAGGCAGGCTGTTCAATGATTATCTCCCCGGGGCGGGTCGTGGGGAGCCGGTCCAAGGCGAAGCTGACCATGGCCCCGAGCCAAAGGCCTGCCCCTGACGTCAGAGACGAGCCTCCGGGTGGGGCCGAGGGGCAGGGCCTTGCCTCTCAGTGGCATTTAAAGCCGGTGCTGCTGCCACCGGACACCAAACACCGCCTTCCTCCCGGGAAAGCAGGCTCACCAGCGGGAAGAGCCCGAAAGCAAGCCTTGGATCTCTGGTCTAGATCGCCAGAGAGAAGGAAGGTAGGCCGGGCTGTTGAACTTACCTCGCTAAAAACCACCAAGGCAAGGCGAACTCGCTTCCTTATCCTACAGCCACGCCTGTCTGCGGCCCGCGCCGGACACAGCCAGGACCCGGGGCTGGAGGGCGTCGGTTCTCGCTCACGTTCAGGAAGCCCATGCTTGCTGTTTCAGGGAATCCGAGTGTCCGAGGCCCTCAGCGCGACTCCGCAGCAATGCCTCCTCAGCTCCACAACGGCCTCAACTTCTCGGCCAAGGTCGTCCAGGGCAGCCTGGACAGCCTGCCCCAGGCAGTGCGCGAGTTCGTGGAGACCAACGCCAGCCTGTGCCAGCCCGAGTGCATCCACATCTGCGATGGCTCCGAGGAGGAGAACCTGCAGCTGCTGCACGAAATGGAGGAGCAGGGCACCATCAAGAGGCTGAAGAAGTACGACAACTGGTGAGTGAGCCCCAGCCCCAGCCCCTCGCCCCAAGGTGGGGGTGGTGGGGAGAGGTGGATGAAGATCGAGGGGTGGGGGGTTTGCAGGCTTTTGAAAGATGATGTAATAGAACCATAGAGACTTTAACGCAATGACACTCGTAGTGCCCAAATCTTCAAGGAGATAGTCTATGCAAACAAATGCTCTTCACAAAATAGACCCCGGGTAAAAGTGGAAGTCAGACCGTCCCTGTTCTCCCAGACTAGCTCACAGTCTAGTAAATGGCTCCTTGACTCTGCCAGTGGGTGTGGCGGTCACATCTGCAGAACATCGCCAGCGCGTGGCACCTGCTAGGTGCAGGGAGGACACGAGGATGGGCCAACGGGTCCATTCCCACGTGACGCTTGACTGAGAGGACCCCGCACACAGACCCATACAGAACAGTTGCACTTCCCCTCCGCCCTCACCTGTGTGTTTTGATTTTTGCAGCTGGTTGGCTCTCACTGACCCCAGGGACGTAGCCAGAATCGAAAGCAAGACAGTCATCATCACCCGAGAGCAGAGAGACACAGTGCCCATCCCCAAGAGTGGCCTCAGCCAGCTGGGCCGCTGGATGTCGGAGGAAGACTTTGAGAAAGCGTTCAACGCCCGGTTTCCTGGGTGCATGAAAGGTACATGGCGCATTTAGTTGACGGGCAGAGTGTCCGAAGCCTTGTATTATGTCTGTCCGAACGGTCACCTTACCGCGATGGGAACTCCGGGGCCTCAGAGGTCCCTAAACGCCATACGTGAAATGGGCAGCATATTGAAGTGTACATCTTAGTTTTAGATTTACAAACGGAAAGGAAAACGTTTTCCAAGCAAGGAGGAACCCAAATTGCACATTTATAAAAATGCCTTTGTTTTGGGGTTCTCTCCGCTGTCCAGTGGGCTCCCGTGACCTGGGGGGCCGGGGGCGGGCAGGGAGTGGCGTGATTGGAGGAAAGCAGCGATGGTTGCGAGTGAGTCCAAGGCCCGTTCTCATGGCTCACACCCCCCCCCCCCGCCCCCGCAGGTCGCACTATGTATGTCATCCCCTTCAGCATGGGGCCCCTGGGCTCGCCTCTGGCCAAGGTCGGCATCGAGCTGACGGACTCGCCCTACGTGGTGGCCAGCATGCGCATCATGACGAGAATGGGGACGCGCGTCCTGGAAGCTCTGGGGGACGGGGAGTTCGTCAAGTGCCTCCATTCCGTGGGGTGCCCCCTGCCTCTGAAAAGTAAGCACGTTGTTTCAAAACCAAAAGCTAGAATGTCTGAAAGGAAGCTCAGCCTTCAGCCCGGGGTGTGTCCTCCGGGGCCCGGCAGGTGGGCCCCGCTGACCGCCATGTCCTCCGCAGAGCCGCTGGTCAACAACTGGGCTTGCAATCCCGAGCAGACGCTCATCGCCCACCTGCCTGACCGCAGGGAGATCATCTCCTTCGGGAGCGGCTACGGCGGCAATTCGCTGCTGGGGAAGAAGTGCTTCGCGCTCAGGATGGCCAGCCGGCTGGCCAAGGAGGAGGGCTGGCTGGCAGAGCACATGCTGGTAAGGCGCGGGGCACTCTGAGCGAGCAGGGTCGGGGCAGGTGCAGGGCGGGTGCTGGCCAATACAGATGGCCTTCCAGGGCCTGTCGGGCCAGGTCCGGACACCCAGGCCAGGCAGATGCGGAAATGCCATCAGTAGTTACGAATGACTCGTGGCTGCTCCTTTTGAAGGACATCAAACACACCCAGGCCCGTAGACATCATTATGCAAAATGTTTGTTTTGAAAATCTGAAGAAATAGAAATCAGGGACCCACCCTTTGGGGGCTTCTAGGCACAGCCTGAGGCTGAAGTACGGGCCAGGGAGAAAAGAAAAAGGAAGGAAGGAAGGAAGGAAGGAAGGAAGGAAGGAAGGAAGGAAGGAAGGAAGGAAGGAAGGAAGGGAAGGAAGGAAAGAAGGAAGGGAAGGAAGGAAGGAAGGAAGGAAGGAAGGAAGGAAGGAAGGAAGGAAGGAAGGAAGGAGGGAGGGAGGGAAGGAAGGAAGGAAGGAAGGAAGGGCGGGCGTCAGGAGGACTTTGTCTCTGCAGATCCTGGGCATCACCAGCCCCCAGGGCCAGAAGAAGTACTTTGCGGCTGCGTTCCCCAGTGCCTGCGGGAAGACCAACCTGGCCATGATGAACCCCAGCCTGCCCGGCTGGAAGGTCGAGTGTGTGGGTGACGACATCGCCTGGATGAAGTTCGACCAGCAAGGTGCCTCTCGCTCGGGCCTGCCTGCTGCTCACAGGGGACTTTTGCCTTTAAACCATGCCAAGGGCCCCTGAGTTCACACTGCCCAGGTTTTTAATTTGGTGATTTCAGACCTGGCAAAGGCTAAGAAATATGTATCCTCTGCAAGCAAGTCTCTCACTTACTATCAAACCTGGGTTGAAACGGGACCCCATGAGGCTGTTGGTTTATAGGGTTCATATGTTAAAGTAGTACTGATGGAAAACTGAGGAGCAGCTTGGGTGAGAAAAGAGAAATGCGTTCGAAGGCGGAGGGGAAAAAGAGTCGGGAATTTGGCCAGGTCTCAGTGCGTGGGGCTCACTCTGACGTCTCGGGTTCACACTCTCCAGGGAACTTAAGGGCCATCAACCCAGAGAATGGATTTTTTGGTGTTGCTCCCGGAACCTCTGTGAAGACCAACCCCAACGCCATCAAGACCATCCAGAGGAACACCATCTTCACCAACGTGGCCGAGACCAGCGACGGCGGCGTCTACTGGGAGGGCATCGACCAGCCGCTGGCCCCTGGGGTCAAGGTCATCTCGTGGAAGAACAAGGACTGGACTCCCGGGGACGGTGAGCCCCCCGGAGGCCCCGCTGCCCCCAGCCCCGGGTGCTCCGTGTTTGGGCTGGACACTCAGGGGCCTCTCCTCTCTGCCTGCTGTAGAGGAGCCGTGTGCCCACCCGAACTCGCGGTTCTGCACCCCCGCCAGCCAGTGCCCTATCATCGACCCTGCCTGGGAGGCTCCGGAGGGCGTGCCCATCGAGGGCATCATCTTCGGAGGGCGCCGGCCTGCTGGTGAGGCTCCCTGCACCCCGGCTGGGCGGGTCTGTGCAATCGCTCCTTTCCTATCACCGTGTCAGAGGGTGCCCCCGAGGCTAGCTTCCTTTCCCGGCGTCCAGGGTGACTGGCAAGCCTTTCTGGGCCCACGGCCTCGGGGAGCTTTATCCTCTTCCTTTGGCTGCGGGCTTCCGTGGTGGACTGCGCCCATGCTGCCCTCGGGCTCTGGGGCACCGTTAGCGGATAAGGAAGGTGCTGCTCTGCCTCCTTTCCATTTGTGAGACAACAGTGCTGGCCGAAGGGTCTGGGTGTCAGAGCGTTGAGGGCACATCTTTTTTTTCCGCTACAGGTGTCCCTCTGGTCTATGAAGCTCTCAGCTGGCAGCATGGAGTGTTTGTGGGGGCGGCCATGAGGTCTGAGGCCACAGCAGCCGCCGAGCACAAAGGTAAACCCAAGTCCAAATCTGCAGCCACCGGGATAGGGAGGGTGCGCTCTCTTCCCCGCTCTGTGACTCTCTTCCTGTCTCTCTCTCTTGTCTCTGTGTTCCTCTGTGTCTCTGTGCTCCTCTGTGTCTCTGTGTTCCTTTGTCTCTGTGTTCCTCTGTGTCTCTGTGTCTCTATGTTCCTTTATGTATCTGTGCTCCTCTATGTCTCTGTCTCTCCCATTCCCCTCTCTTGCTCTTTCTCTCTCTCTCTCTGTCTTTGTTTCTATGTCCCTGTGTCTCTCCTGTTTCTGTCTGTCTCTCCTGTCTTTGTCTGTCTCTCTGTCTCTCTATCTCTGTCTCTCTTGTCTCTGTCTGCCTCTGTGTCTCTCTTCTTGTCTCTCCTGTCTGTGTTTCTGTATGTCTCTGTGTCTCTCCTGTTTCTGTCTGTCTCTCTGTCTGTCTCTCCTGTCTCTGTCTGCCTCTGTGTCTATGTCTCTCTGTCTCTCTCCGTGTGGAGAGAGGAGCCGAGCGTGCTGATGTCAGCTGTCAGCACTGTCCTATGGGGCCTCAGTGACTGACAGGGCCCTTCTGTGTCAACAGGCAAAGTCATCATGCACGACCCCTTTGCCATGCGGCCCTTCTTTGGCTACAACTTTGGCGAGTACCTGGCCCACTGGCTCAGCATGGCCCAGCGCCCCTCGGCCAAGCTGCCCAAGATCTTCCACGTCAACTGGTTCCGGAAGGACAAGGACGGCAAGTTCCTCTGGCCCGGGTTCGGGGAGAACTCCCGGGTGCTGGAGTGGATGTTCCACCGGATCAACGGGGAGGGCGGCGCCAAGCTCACGGCCATCGGCTACGTCCCCACTGAGGAGGCCCTGAACCTGAGCGGCCTGGGCGACATCAACACCAAGGAGCTCTTCGACATCTCCCGGGAGTTCTGGGAGAAGGAGGCGGAGGACATTCAGGCCTACCTGGAGGAGCAGGTGAACGCCGACCTCCCCCACGAGATCCAGAGGGAGGTGCTGGCTCTGAAGCAGAGAGTCAGCCAGATGTAGGGAGAGCCGGGGCCGCACCCTCGCACCCCTTCCCTGTCCTCGAGGTGTGCTGGGAGCGAGAGCGCGGGGCTTCCCAACCCGCGGCCACCCACCGCCCGCAGTGACCACACCCCTGAGCCTTTCCAACAACACATTTTAATTGTTCAGACACGACCGCAGGGTACCGGCTAGTCACTAACGAGATCGGGGAGGGGAATCCTAGCACGTCTCCCCAATTCACGATTCCGTGCACGTTTGCTCAATCTTCAGGACACTCAGGCCTTTAGTCATTGTCACTGTAGCTATCAGTTAGCAGGAATGCACAGAAAACAATACTTGAGCTGTATATACGTGTATATGTGAGTGTGTGTGGTGTGCTTGTGCGTGTGTGTTTATGTACTGTTATCTAAAACGTATTTAATACCTTCGGAAAAAATCTTGGGCAAGATTACCTACTAGTTGTTGCTAGACAGAAATGTTGCTTTATTATTAATATGTGTGTTTAAATTATTTTTATATACAGTTGTTCCTTACCTTTGCATAATTTCACCTTTTCTCTGAACACGTCTTGGAAGATTACAAAATAAACGTTTATAGAAAGGTGGATTTGTCTGCTTGGTTTTTTAAAAATTTGAACCACCCACTCAAATCCCCTCCAAAGCACGTGGGGTATCAGGGGGGAGATTTGGGGGATGGAGGGAGCAGAGAATGTCACCCAGAAGGAAGAGGGGGTTTTCTGAATCAACCACTGGGCAGGGTCTGAAGCCACTAGTTAGTGCTCTGTAGCACTTCCATAAGCTTGAGGTGGGTCTCATGTACCTGGAACGGGAGCGTTAAAAATGTGCTTTTTGACAAAAACATGGGTCTGGGGGCTTGGCCTCCCACGAGAATGATACCAGAGCCATTTTCACAGGTTTGTGAAATAAACTCTCTTCTGAACAGGGCTTTTCTCAATGTCATGTCCAGGGAAGGAAAGGAGAGAGGAAAGGGTCCCTCGGAAGGAGCAGCCAAGGGTGTCTCTGTGGTGCAAGCATTGCCTGAGCTCTGGGCACACTGAGCACGGCTTCAGTAGTGGGCGTACAGTGCTGCCCCCTGGCGGCCTCATGCCCGGGCCCTCTGCTCCCAGTCTGCTGGGTGCTGGGGAGCAATCCTGACCAGCTGTGGGCATGGCCTGGAGTATGACTTCCCCCGGTTGTTTCCTTCCTGGGCCCACAGCTCGGGTGGCTTTGTGCCTGCCTGGTTAATCACACCATGCTTTCCTTTCACACGCTTACTCAATCCCCCAATCCGCCTTGCTCCCGGCAGCGGCTCCAGTGGACAGAGCAGCGGAGATCGCCCCGATCTGTAGATGGGAAGCTGAGGCCAGGAGTGCCCCTTGGGGCTGGGAAACCGCCAGCAGAGTTTTCTTTCCCTAAAGGAGCTGAGAGCAGACCCAGCTCTCCTGGCGGTGTCAGTTCTAATACCAAGACCACTGCGGCGTGCGGGGGCCACACACTGAATAGAATGAAAAGGTACGAATTCAAGCCAGTGGCTTTCCAACGGATTCTTCTTGTCTCTGCAAGCCTGTTTTCACATGTGCTCTCACTCAGAAACCGAATGTCCAAGGAAACAAAACCCCAGGCAGCCCACCTGGCGACAGGGGAGAGCGGGGACCGGGCCATAGCTCCTTGGACTCCCGAGAGGGGCTCCCAGGACAGAGTGTGGGCACCCTTGTTGAAATACACGCCCCGGGCCTTCAGCAGGTTTTGTCCCTTTGCAGGCAAAGCTGGCCACCTTGGGCTTCCTTAGCTCCCACCCAGCATCACCCACTCACCCAGCAGGCTTTTGTGTGACCCTTTGCCACCAGGTGATGAAAGCCTGGAGGACAGCCTAGAGGAGGTGCCTTCAACAGAAAAGCGTTTTCAAAAGACCGAAAGGACCCAACACTTACCACTGACTGGTCCCTGACTCAGTTTCCCAGATCCGTGCTCCCTTGTCTGCCCCGTCTAGCTCTAAGCCCTGGTCTCTGTGTGTGAGCTGCCAGGACACGACAGGGTTGCCTGCGGAGCCAGCGTGCAGGAGGCCATGCGAGGTCCTGGGAGGGTGAGTGGCCCTTGGCTGGGAGAATGGAAACCGGCGCCCTGATTCCTGGTCAGCCCTCCCCACGTGACCTCGGACCAACAAGGGGCTGACGTCTTCTATGGGCAGCCACGTAGGAGCTGCCCCTGACCCCCACGGTTCCTGGAGCTGCACTGGGGTCTGGGTTAAAGGCCAGAGCACAGGGGGTATGAGGCAAATATTGGACCAGGACAACAAGCCTGCCCTGTGCTCACTGGAGCATCGGAGAGCCTGGCTGGTGGGGGTGGGTGGTGGGGCCTCTCCCTTCTCCCTCTCGCTCCTCGGGCCCATCCTAACCCAGAACCCCAGTCTGGGTACCACACCCACGTTCCTTCTGGAGCTCTAAGACTAGAGGGCACAGGCATGGAGGCTCCCGGCCTGCCCCTGCCAGAGGCCCCGAGCCAGAGCGGTGTCCGCTGCTTTGTCGCTGCTGTCATCAGTTGCATCAACTGGGCCCCAGGTGAGGGCATCTGAGGAAAAGGGCTGGCTGCCTGGCTCGTCCCTCCGGCCCCTCCCTCCCCGGGAGGCAGTAAACACTGATGACCTTGGACATAGTCCAGCTCTGCCTCTGGCCAGCAGGGTCACCGGGGTGACTCACCTGGGCCAGGGCAGCACTGTCCCTGCCGGGCCCACAGGATGAGGGGAAGAGCCCAGCCAGCGCAGACCCCGGTCACCTCTCCGGCAGCGGTGGGTGCCCAGGTGACCGCACAGGCTGTGCCTCAGCTTCCCTGGCTGTGAGATGGTGTAATAACCATGTGTGATGGGTGCTGGGAAGGTCCAGGGAGATGGCACGTGTGTGGCCCAGACACAGTGGGGCCTCGAGGACAGCAATGCTGTTACTTTTTTCCGGGTGTAGCTGTGATGGTGCAACATCAGGGTCCAACATTCAGTGTGTGTGTGTGTGTGTGTGTGTGTGTGTGTGTGTGTGTGTGTGTGTATGTATGGGGTGGGGGGTGATGGTGGGGGACGGGGGCTGGAGGGGACAGCTGCAATCACCCCACCACCACGCTGCCCCAGCCTCCTGACACCCCAGCTCATCCAAAATCCATCCCAGGTCCTTTCCCGGGCCCCCCAGACCTTCCCACAGGGGGGAGGGGCTCCGGGCTGGCTCTGCGCCGTCTGCGAGTGGTCACCGCCCCATCGGTGGTTACATATTTTGAATGTCACTCCTGTCCGCCCCTCCTCAATGCCTTGATGTCACACAGCCACCGCCTCCTGCCCTATCCCACACTGGACTTTGCTGCAAACAAGGGTGCTGGGTGCTGGGGGCGGGGGGGCCCTTGAGCTGAGAAAGCCCGTGGCTACCACCTCACCCTTAGGAAAGGGTGGAGGCCCCTCCATGGGTGAAGTGGGGCTCGGGATGGAGACGTGGTTCAGAGGGGACAAAGGCTGGGCCTTTTCTGCGGTTCTCAAGTTCTGCTGAGTTTCCTGTCTGGCTAGCGCTGGAAGCTGAGCCCTGAGGGGCCTGGGCAGACGCCCGCCTGCGCTCTTGCTAAGGACCAGATCCTGGGATGGGACGGGACGCTGCCAGATGACAGGAAGACAGCAGGCACAGAAAGGACGGGGATCTGAGGGTCATAGCCTGCTCCCCCACATGCAGGGGGGCCGAGCCCAGAGGTTTCTCTGATGCCCGGAGCTGGGCTTTGGGGCCATGCAGAGGAGCAACGGGCGCCATTGGTCCTCGGTGGCCGGCGGCAGGAACAAGAACATGGCGGTCTGGCTGACACCTGCCTGGTCCCTCCCTGATGCGAGCTCCCAGGAGCTCGCTTGTCTGCCACCTGCCTGCACAGCCCGGCCCCGGCGAGGGGGGTGTAAATGTATGCATCAGCCAGGCGCGCCAGCCCCAGCGGCAGAACCTTTCTCTAGGCGAAGCAATTTGCAGCAAAATATGCTGTAAATATTTGTTCAGCCTAGGAAAATGACTTTAATTGCATAATTAAACTTGTTGTCAATGCTGCTTCCGGACAAAATGGCTGGGGAAAGCTGGGACCGCAGCTGGCCCTCTGAGTTTGTGGAATAGAGGGGTTTGCCCCGCCCCATCTTTCTCCCCGAAAAGGGGGTTTTGAGATTGCCAGGGAGGAAGGAGGAAGGGGCTTGATGGCTTTGGGGAGAGGAGAGAGGGAGAAAGTTCCCCAAACCAGAGAACCAGCCGCAAAGGGACTCCCAGGCCCTGGGGCAGAACTGCCCCCGAGTTTCCAAATGCCCCGTGCGCCCCGCCTTCGGGGGTAACGGGTAACTTGAGCATTGAGCCCCTCACTGAAGCAGAAGGCAGTCAATAGGTTGAAAGAAATTCGCTTTAGAAGAAAACATTGCATTCCAGACAGCAATGAAAAGCTGGGGCTCCTGGCTAAGGTAACCACACAAACACGGCGCTCCGCCAGGCCCGGAAGGCCGGCCGCAGGTCGGCAAACCCCCGAAAAGACGGGTGGTCCCCAGGGTCCGGGGAAATGGCACTGGGTGTGGCTGCTGAGGGGAGCAGGGTTTCTTTCTGGGGTGATGGCATGTTCCAAAACTAGATTGAGGCAAAGGCTGCTCCATCCTGTGCCTCTATTAAAACCCACCGGAATGTACGTTTTAATTGGGTGAATTTTATGGTATGTCAATTATAGCCCCATCAAGCAGCTTCACAAAAGAATAAAATGGAAAACAAAATTGCCTCTCAGCTGCGTTAGAAGCCAGCTGTTTCCCGAAGGGCCTGAGCTGGAGGCCTGCACCCCTCTTGTCGAGCATCAGAGGAGCACACAGAGGGCGGCGCGGGGTTGGGGGGTGGAGAGCACCGGAGGACTCAGAGGAAGGGGACCAACTGTCTCCTGGTGGGGTTCAGTGTCAAGGCCCATGAACATCTCCAAGTGACCACCCAGTATCTTCAAAAGCACCTCCCCCACCTCCAGAGGAGAAACAGGCCAGGACAGAAACCTGCAAGC